GGAAAGAGCATTGATGTTCACCCTCTGTGGGCTCACCAGATGTCCTACCTTTGCCATACTATGTAATGCCATCTAAATTATGCTGTTAAGCTTGTGAGATACTTAATCACAAGAGACTTTGTCATGATTGGCTCCAGCTTAAGTTAGGAAAGTGTTTAAAAGTAATTCAGGGGCCAATAGTAATTTGTGGTAACCATAATTTAGTAGTGATAATTCACTAATTTGGAAAAAGTGTTTCTTGATTTCTTGAATATTCAGCAGTGTGCCCAGGTGGCCAAGAATGCCAACAGCATCCTGGCTTGTATCAGAAATAGTCTGGCCAGCAGGACTAGGAAAGTGGTTGTACTCTTACTCTGCCAAAAATTTTGGGGGACCCCAAACTGTTGGAATTGCTGTTTTCTGTGATTCAGCCACCTGGTTTTTGTGTAGTGCAGAGTACCCAGGTAATGTCAAGAAGCATGTCACTGGCAGGCACTTTGGGGATGGGAAGACACAGGCTACCTCCTATGGTGTATAGCTATGGTAAAATAATTTTTTAAGGCTGAGAAAGACCTTTGTTTTCCTTCTGGTTATAAGGAGTTGTAGTCTCTTAAGAATTCTTTTCTCAGCTGGGCTTGTCTGCATTTCAAGACACTTCCTCCCCCTAGGTAGTTAAGACAGATAGCTAAGGTTTCTTTTTCCCCTCCAGACAACCAATGTTTTGGGCAGTGGTTTTAGTTTTTAAATCCCACACATATAATTTACTGTATCTGGCTACCTCAGATGCTGCATTTCTTTTTGGTAGCTGTCACACTAGTATCATAAGTCAGTCTGGAGACGAGGATAATGAGACTCTTGGAAGATGTTAAATGCCATCCAGTGAAGGAAGGTAGTACCTCACAGATTAGTAGTTCCCAGCCTGGAGACTTGCCTTGGACAGTATCTTGCTCATCTGGGGAGAGTGACTGAGGCAAGCTGACAAACTCAGTGCACCAGTAGCTTTTGCAGTTTCTCAGTTTGTCTGCACACGAAGGGTCCATAAACTGGAAAAGGTTCACCACAACCACTATCAGCACCAAGGATATCCATCTATGTCTTAGTGCCCAGTACGTTCCTTACAAGGTAACTTTGTTGCTAGGCTATCAGTAAATAAACTCAATTTAGACAGGCACAAAGTACCTGGCTTTTTTTTTTCCCCTTAAGAAACTAATCTGAAGTTTGTTCAGCTCCTAGGATTGAGGAAGGATGGGGGAAGGAGAGACTCTTTTTCTACATGTTTTAGTGTTCTTGTCAGTGGACCTAGAAGTCAGGTGTTGTGACTCTCAGCATTACAAATAGCTAGTTTTATGGCAACTTTCTAGCAGATATGCAAAAAAAAAAAAAAAAAAAAAAGAAAAAAATCTAAGTTGTCCGCTACCTCATTTGATGGAAAAATGCACACACAGAAGCAGTCTGCACTGTAGGGATCCTTATAAAGGATAGTCTAACAAGGTTCTTACGTGAACAGAATTTTGCCAGTTCTTAATTGTGTTAAAAAGGTTAAAACTGTAGGGTTCTGGATATACCAGGATTATTCTGGTTTTCCTTATGTATTCTGTATTTATTGCTATTGTAACTTTCTTTTTTTTCCCCAGGTCACCTTAACTGCTTAGAATAGACTCATTTGGGCAACTATTTGAACTGTGCAAACTGTGTAGTGAAGTTGTTTTTTTTTTTCAGTTACATGTGAAAAGTGTGTGGTGGGCAAGGCAAACGAGACCGGTGTGCTCTCACAGCCAAGGCTCTTCTGTGTTGCTTCTGGAACTGGAATCTCATCTTGCCCCTGCCCTTAAAGGTCCTCCTGGTCAGGCCATGCGTACGCTTGCACAGGGTCCCCATGAGATCTCCAGCTTGAAGCAGAAACGAAGATGGCAGGTGGGGAAGAGTTTCCCCAAGTGCTGTCTGGTTGCAGGAGAGCTCTGCTCACTGTGTGCTGGGAAAGCTCCATTAGGTTCTTGATGCATTTATTTCCCAGCTTGGTCTTGGCTCTGCATGTGTAATACAGTGAGAGTATTTTTGCTTTGGAAGAGATTGTTTGGTTAGTTGCTAAAACAAAAACCCCTCATACTTTGATGGAGCTGCTGGCTGGCAGGAAAAAAATGGATACACACTTAATGTACAGTTAAGGCTTAACTGAAGCTGCAGAACAGTGAATAGCCACTCAGTACAGTAAATGGGGTTGGGGACTTGATGGGGAGAATAGTGTGATTTTTATGGCTACAATTTTATGTGGTGATATGAACTGATGTAAGGTTTCAACAGTAACTGCTTCTCCTCTGTTGAGGTGTTTGACGTGTTCCATCTTGGGACTCTATTCAAGGTACTACTTGAGATAATCAAGCCTAGACACTTTATGCTTTTAAAGAGTATCTAGGAGTCCTGAAATGACTTTGTTAAAACCACTTTTCCTGGTAAATGCAGTTGCCCTGCAAATATACATGCTAGCAATTTAGCTGAAATACTGAAGCAATATGAGATGAATGGGAAATAAAGTTCTGGAGTATATTACACTCAAGTGAGGGGAAAAGAAAGCTTGTTTAAAGGGGTGAAAAAATATTTGCTAGAAAAATTACAATTAAACCGTAACCTAATTGTCTGTCACTGGCAATAAGCTTGTTAAGGTTCTCTGCTGCATAAAGGCCATAATGTTTCTGTAATAGCCCTGTGTCAGTGGGGAATTGGGTGCTGAGGAGCTCTTCTGCAGCGTACGGTGCGAGGGTCACCAGGCTGCTGTGCCGACTGATTCACCTCCCTGCGTGGGGCTGATGGCTCCGGCCTTCTCAGCAGCTCAGAGGGGTGGTGGTTGAGCTGTTCCAGAATCAAGGTCTCCAGGTATGACCTGTTCTGATTCTGAGGAGAGAGCCTCTACTCTTAAGAGGAGCTGCTGCTTCTTAAGAGGCTCCCATGGCACTGGTGACTTAATTTATGGCAAAGCCTGGCTTTGTAGTCAGATGTTTTTCCTAGCACTGCTCAGTTTTATTCTCTTCCCAATCATGTTATGTGTTTGATGCTCCTGTTTGACAGGCGTCTAGTAATGCACTCGAATACTGTTTACAGAAGAGAGAACAGTAAGCTACTGCAAACGTAGTCACACTTCTAGCCTGAATTTAGTCATTGTTCCTTGTTAATGATGCTTCAGGAGCTTTTAGCAGAATTCTTAGGCTATGTTCCTGAAGGAAAACACTGGACTAACCAGACTTTGAAAAAGGTGATAAAGCAGTGGCTGTGTAGTAGTTCTTGAGAACCATGTTTAGAAATAGAATTTGCTGGGGAAAATGATCCCTTTGTCCACTCCTAGGAGTGACAACATCCTGGAGATAGCAATCTACAGACCTGTAGACTGTAAAAAAGGCCCCCAACTTTTACCTTAAAGGATACTTAAGACATCTTACCCTATGCTAATTAACTCTTTGTAACTTGTACTGATAAGAATCAGGTAATGTGATAAGGTGGACAGTCTAGTAATAGAGAAATTTTGTGAGCCTTACTTCATTTTTAGTGGAGCTGGGGAAAGTACAGGAAGGCTTCATCATCAGTTGGAAATGCACAAAGTACCTAAGAACTGAGCATCTTCTCAACTGTCAAGCTGACAAGGCAGTGGAGTCCTTCACCAAATTAACACAGCACAGAAGGGATCTATCCTGCTGTTCTTGCTTATTAAGATGAAACTACATCTTGCTCTGGGTCACTCCAGTGTGCACCCATGCCTGCTCACCAGAAAACTTCCCCTACAAATGCATCCTTAGTATCCCAGCTTGACACTTAGCACATCCACAGATTGACTTCTCTAATGTGACTAGTACAGCAGCAGGGAATAATGTTCACAGACTGTTTTTTTTTTCCTCCTAAATTTTATTTGAGCAGAAGACGTACATATATATCAACAGACACAATTCTGCTAACTTCAGAAGCATATGATAGACAGGGATTTTCTGGGCCATATTTTCTTTATGGCTTTGTCAGTCTTCTTCCTGAGTTTCTTTTGTCAGAAAAGTACCCTGGCAAGTTCAAACAGAACCTGTGGGAACAGCAGACACATTGATATGAATTTTTGTTTGGTTTAATAATCCTTAAAATGGTTTACACTGTAAATAGGATAATCTGAAAAATAACTATAGCTGCAGTTTAAAAGTTAACTTGCAAAGAACTGAAGACTAATCCCCTTGTACAGTACACTGCATTTATAAAATCATCTTGATTCTCAAATTATGAAGTAGATAAATTGCACTTGTTATTGTAGTGGGGAAGCCCTCCACCAACCTCTATGGTGATGAGGATTACGATCATCCACTCGAGGCGCAGAGCGTGCTTTTCATTCAGGTGATTTCGCATCAGGTCTGTCAGCTCCATGCAGTGCTGAAGCTTCTCATTCATCACCTGCAAGAGATTCCAAACACGTGGCAAATCTGGATTCCCTAAGTGGAATGAGATGAAGTAAAGGAACACAACCCACAGAAGGGCTCACGGAACAGAACTAGAGCAGCAGTAATGCTCTCCTGCAGACGACCAGGACAGAAAGTCCTGTAAGGCAACAGGCACAAGCAACAGAAGTTTCAATATGAGTCTGTTACTTCAGTAGGTTCACTAATGGAAACACCAGATGAAGTAGATTTTGTGCTTTTAATCCTGGTTCAACAGTAAGCACTGTGTTGCCCTTCAATGAACTGACCTGACTGAAGGAATACACAGCAATGTTTATGTCCCCAAGAAGAAGACTGCTTCACATCTCAGCTTCACTTGTTTTCTTGCACACATCTCAAAACAAGAATTAAATCTCTTTGTGTAACTACTCAGAGCCTAATTTAGTGGCTCAGGAAATGTGCACCCTGTTAAGGGGGTGCAGGGTTGTTAACCTGAAGATGTGAGTGGGTTACAAACATGTGGAAAAGGGGACAGTGTATAGGATCCCATTGTTTTTTATTTAGTTTTTGGAACTAAAACAGACATTCATGGAGCAGTCTGTAACCCTGCTGAGCCAAAGACAGATGATAAGAGTGTGGAAAATTCACAACAGTAGAACACCTACCTTAACTCTGCGATTAATGTTGAGGAACTGGCAGGTCTTGTCATAAAGCTCTTCCAGTTTTTCTCTATCCCAGTAGAAGTCAGGTGTTATTAGCAGGTCTGAACTCAGGTTTATCCGGTGCCTAAAAAGAATTGGTACTATAGTAGTTAAAACTTTTTTGATGATTACAGGAGCAAATATTTACAGAGCAGTTAAAAGAAACAGGAAAAATTTCCAGTAATTTTAAATAAAACATGAGAAGAATCCCCTTTCAATAAAAAAAATACAATTATAGCAATTGTTTAAAATTGGCCACATCTGAAACTTTTCTGAGAACACTGTACAGTGTAATAGTTTTGAGCATAAGTGATTTTTGCTGTAGGGCAACATTGCCTCCTCAGTTTGTCACCTTCCTTAACTTTTGATACCTGCAGAGAAGTCCTTAACTATGCTAGCAGCTTGAAGTAGTACATGAATTAAAGTTCCTGGGGAGCTCCTTAAAAGCTTGTTGGTATCTCAGAACTCTTGTGACTGAGCACAGCACACCTTCCAGAACCAGGCTACAGCTTCAACATTATAAAAGCTAAGAGCTAAAATGTCCCATCCTCAACCTACTGCTCACATAAATCTTTGGCTGCTTAAAACATCATTGTTCATTTCTGAGTAAACCAAGGGAAGAACAGAATTCACAGAAAAGTTTTACCAACTCTAGGAGTTAGTTAACAGTTGTACTTGGCTCTGCCCTCCCTCCTGCTCTCCTTTGGACACTCTAGTATCTACTGTAATTACTGGTTAAGAGACATGTTGCTGGACTCAGGGAGGGAAAGGGGTGTGGAGTTGGGCCACTTTCAATATGCTGCTTAACACCTGTCTGTAGTTGAGATGCCACAGTGTGAGTGGGGAGTGGAGCTAGTGGGTCTTCTGACTAACATAAACAGCACACAAGGTCTCCAGCCAAAAGAAGGCTGAAGGAATTCCCTCCTGCCCCAAAATTTTTAAGTTCTGTGTAATACAATTTCTTGGGTGTAAACAAAAAAGTTACCTTAATGCAAACAGTTCTCCCATTTTCTGCATTACATCCGCATGGGACAGTTTTACCTTCCTTCGTGACTTTAGTATCTGCAAAATAACAAGTTTTTCACTGCTTGATCAGGTACCTTGTACTAGTAGTTAAGTCTGGAGTTCTACAGCCTGCAGTATGTATATGCACTAAAATCTGAATGCATATGTATCATGCTTATTAAGAGTTTTGTTTACTTGGTGCCTGGCTTATCTAGCTTTATAAGAATATCACCATGCAGCTGCTCATCCAGGTTTTTCAATAAATTACTGAGTATGTCATCAGTATCTACACAAAATCCCAGAGCGTTTCCTTGAATGATTTCCTGAACAAGGGATAGTTTGTTTGTTCTTCCTACTATTGTTATTTTTAAGTCATGACAGTGTTCTTGCCCACTGCTCAGTTGTAAAGGAAAAGTAGAACGTTAACAATGTATTATCATTTATTTCCTTCATAAAAAAATAAATGTTTTCGCTTGTGAAGCCTACGAATCTCATTGTTATGTGTGACATCGTACGGGATGTGTACTTTAATGAAACTCACAAAATACTGTTGTGAAAGTAATTCACTCTAAGTCTTTCATTATATTCAAGTTAAAGCACGTTACTTTCAGCCCAAGCTGTCACATGCTGTGTTTGGCAAGGCTTTTAAATGCTGCTTGTCCTGTTACACATACACATGCAACAGTGGCACAACATGGGAAATTATTCTAATGCAGAACCCCACTCCTGGTCCTTTAATGACCAGGTCATTGGTCCTTTAATGACCAATGATATCTTGTCCTACCACGCTGCAGGTGTTCTGAGCTTCTCTATGTTGATGGCTTTACCATCTACGGTGTTAAGCTTTCAGTTGCTTTTTCCATGCCCTCGGCTGTACCTGGACTGATCTTTTACAAAGCACAGGAGGAGAGGGGAGAGGAACAAACGAGACCTCACCTCAGGAATTGACTGGATAGATTCCACGAAGTTATCCAGTAACGATTCCCAGATAGCCAGCTTTACTACAACACAGAGGTGACAAAGGAGAACACTGTGAGCAGTACATATGCTTTCAAGGAACTGCTTTAAACCTGCCAACATGCTGCTTCCAGACAAGCTTATGCATACAAGCACTATTTGCATCAGGTTACCATTAGTATTACACTATCAATGTTCATACAACACCTATGAACAAATCTGGACTGGGCACTGATGCAGCTCTGCATGCAGAACGACCTTGAGTGCAGGTCTCTTCTCCAGACGATCAGACCTCGGAGAGCTTTTGCTACAGCTCAGAAGTTGCATGTTTAAGTCCCCTACCCTATGTGTGTTGCTTTTTGCAAACTACGTTCCAAGGAGGCTGGAGATAACCAGCTGGGCTGGAGTCAGGCTGACTTCACGTGGTGCCCCTGAAGAGTCTCCACTGCAGTTCTAGGTGTCCTGCAGAACTCTCTTTCTCCATTTGTACAGTTATTTGATGCAGCATGCTTATCATATAACTGATGAGCTGGCTTGTAGAGACACACCACCTGTATCTCCTGAAGCTAAATTCAAACTTAATCAGTCTCCCTTTTTTTTTTTTTAAGCAAATATACTGTTCACTGATGACGTAACTTCCCTTCTGTGGAAGTTGTTCAACACAGGCAATGGAAACGCAAATTCCACTATGCCTCAGCTTCAGCATGGAAAGATGTTTCTACAGGAAGATGATATAACTCAGGCCTTTGTTTTTTTAGTCCATAGTTTCACAGACAAGAGTGAAGTAGCAACGGATCAAAATTTAACTCTATTCTCAGAAAAATCAAGCATGGAAGACTCAGTTGTCAAAATTAACTCTGTCATTGTAGTAATCAATAGTATCATCCAGTAAGGATGCTGAGCATCCTTCCCACTCATCTTTTGCATACAGAGGCCAAATCCAAGTCAGTGACTTAAATGACATTTAATTTAGCCCCTGAAAAAAAGCTAATAGGCATGTCAGCTATCACACATTATCTGACACAGATAATTTGGTTTCTGCTGTCATAAATTTGACTTGGTCTACATGTGCATCCTTTTATTTTATTTAATATTATTCAGCTGTTTTCCTTTATGATGTGCATGTCTCACACCAGCACAAATTGGTACCAGTTATCTCCAGGGAATAAATCACTTGCTCCATTATATGTGGCATCACTCTTCCACACTGTGGCTTTATGAATAGGAAAACTATAGACAAGGAAAGCCTTTTTTTCCCTCAACTGCTCTTCCTTGACAGTCAAGAACCCCTTAGTTATGATGTACTCTTTGATCAAATGGTTATCCCTTCCAAAAAGCCACATCCTCCTTCTTGATGCCTCTTCTGTTTCAAGGTGCACTTCCACAGATACTACGGGAAACCTGCAACTGACCCTAAAAGCAGTAGGGGTAGACAGGCCACATTTCCTTTAAAGGTCTTCTTGAGGACGGCCTTACTGCTGCTAGCTTCTACTCCCACGTCCTGCCTCATTCGAGGTCTGAAGCAGCACAGAGGTCTCTTTCCTCAAGCAGCAGCACCACTGCTGAGCCTGACTTCTTCCTAGTGCCTCCCACTGAGCCTGCCATGGCTGATAAGCCTGGAAAACATTTTATGTGACTGGTCCGCACCTTTGATGCTGGGACACCTCCCCAGCTAGGAGTCACTGCCCTGCGTGACTGCTTTAGCTGGCGTCTAGCTTACTCTGCTAGCGAAATGATGTCAGGATGAATCCTGACAGGTTTCTAATACTGGACTCTACACTTGTTGCTATCATAGAATAGTTCTCAAATATGGGGAACAGAATGCTCAGTAGAATGTGTGGCTTTCGCAAAGTATGTTTCTCGATGTGGTTTGTTCATCTTTGAGATGACTTATATTGAGTAAGGAAATTCCAATTTGCAGAAAATGAGGTAAAAGCTTTGAAAACTAATCCTCCCACTGAAGCACAATCTTCACAGAGTTTGCTTAAGCCATACACCAAGTCTCCTCCAACCTGTCACTGTACAAGTCCCACTTAGAATGGCATTTCACTACCTGTAGCACAGGCTGATTCCGCAAATAATATTAACTTACCAGAAAGACAAAGGGCATTTGAAAAGGCAAATTTCTGCAGAACAACTTCATCAATATCCAGCTCAGAATTTAACAAGATTTCTCCTTTGTGAAGCTTTGACTGACCTCTGTTAAAACAGGATTGAAGCATCTTCATTGGCCCAGCCACCAGCAAAGGAACATTTAAAGAACAATCAACAATGCAAGAAAGGTTGTTTGTTTATATAAAGCATGCCATATCTGTATGGATACCACCCCCACACTTGCATTTTACTCATGTTCAACCTGACAATAGCCAAAACAAATGACTGAAAATTAGTTCCTCACTCTAAGGACTTAAGAATGTGGCCAAATTTTCTAGGTTTAAATGAAACTGTAGCAAGCTATGATGGTAACTACAGCATTCCCATACACACACACACAATTCACAGTAAGCAGGATGCTGGCACCTCTCTCCTGCTCACTTGCTCCTGCATGATCTTTCTGTTTCCCTTTTCTTCTGCCACTTGTATCAACATCACTCACTCTCTTCTATGAAGTCACTTTCCCCAAAACCTGTATTGCACAGGGCACCAGGAGCAAAGAAACGGGAGCATGAGAGTCATTCAATTTATCACGTCAATCTCACTAAAAAACTTGCATAAACAGTGAAATATGTCAGGAATCACAAACTGCGCAACTGCATAGTACATGCAGTTTTCAAATGGCCAGGAAAACCCAAAAAACCCCCAAAAACCTGTCCTCTTATCAGGTTACCTTAAATAAGCTCAAGCTCATTAGTTCAGCTTCTAGTGTTACACTGTCCTGTCTAGAGTTGTTTTTTGGTGCTGTTGGAAAATGACATATAATTTAATTAATAATTTACATTAAGAAATATTTCCATAGAGATCTTATGCTCCCCATGATGAAAAAAAAAAAAATTAACAAGGCAAGACAACTTGCCAGGACTGTTGTTCCATAGTATTCAAGTTACAACTCTGTGCAGAATTACATCTCTGTGTATGAACCCAGAGGGCAACAAGTAGAGTTTACACAGAGAACCCCCTTTAAAATCAGACTTGTCTCAATAATGTGTTTTTTTGTTTCTTTTTGAGGTACATAGTTTCTACTTGGGATTGCTGAAGAACATGTGCAGTTGTGTGGGCATGGAGACTCAGCATTTACAAACTCTACCACATAACCAAGTCACAAAGGCCATTACTTGCAAGTTTAGCAGTACAGCAAAATCTGTCAACTTAGATTTACTGTTTCCTCCTCTCCTTATTTTACTCATTTGAAAAAAGAGGAAGGACAAGGATGCTTTTACTAGTTGCTTTCACCCAAATTTGTCTTAGATGTGTATTAGCTTTTACATAAAGAGTGCCTGAAGATACTTACTCTCCTATTCTATAGTTAATCTCTTCATTCTCCCAGTGGACTAGTGCAACTTCGTACGGCTGAATTTCATGCTGTTCTAGCATTCGCATGATATTCTTTATCTAAGGAAAGGACAATTGCAATACACAGAGGAACAGTTACCAGCCAGTATGCTACTGTTCTACAAAGACCTTGCATGAATGCAGCTTTCATGCTGAAGTTGTATAAACAACAACAAATAGGTGTGCTAAGTACTGAAGTGATTACTAACACAGTTCAGTTCTGAAGCCACCTGTAGCCGCGTGGAAGATTTGTGGCTATGACCAACTGCAATGAATCTGCAAAGACTGAGATGTCATTTCATGCCTGCATATAGAAAACAGGGTAAGGATTAACCATGGCAGCAGTACAGACCATGCCGATGTATTCAGTATTAGCCAACGAGCTGTACAACATTTTGGCAGATGTCTGAGTGTGGGAATAAATCTTTAGGATAAGTACATCAGGTGGCTGTTTCTGCCAAAATTACTAGCTTGTTGCTAAAAATCAAGTTTTGTTTCAGCTACCAGAGGTTCAGTTATGTTACAGAAATCCTTTACCCCTACAGAAATGTGTAAAAATGGCTTCAGTGGCCCACGTTCAACCCTGTACACTGTTAAATATGCAACTTTCCTTGCAGAAGTAATCTCATTGTCATTTTATTCTCAAACACACAAGCAGGAAGGAAGAACCCTTTTCTCTGACAAAACCTTCTTCTCTGACATCTGACTTGGGATGCCTCATCCTTGTTCCTTTGTATGTGCTACAAGGCTCCCCTCATAATAATCATTCTGCAACTAGAACAAATTCTGAACTAAAAAAACCCACTCAGCTAGAGATTTTTAAATGGCATTTAGCTACACAACAATCAATGAAAAAAAAAAAAAAAAGGAAATACCCACAATAACACTTTTGATGTCTAAATTCTTTAAAGAGGTGAATCTTCTGTAAGTCAAGTGTGAACCACTCTCTTCAAAATAACAGGTAATAGTTAATAATTTTTTTTGTATGTTAGCAAATTTTTCATGAAGCACATTCTCCAGATTAAGTACTGTAAAAAGAAATAATCTGTTGGATCATTTGCAGAAGGGATTTTCTTTGCAGTGCTAGTATCTTTCTACATTGCTTTCCAGAATCTTGCGGATACTATCTATGTAAGACAAGATAGGGATTTTTCACTAAAAAAATCCCAACCTTATAGCTGCAACTGCTTGATTCATAATCCTGAATTTCCTATTAGTATGACTAGTACCTGCCATACATTCCAAATCTTGTGGTAAAAAAGGCTATGAGAAATTATTTTCAGTTTTCAAGCAAGGAAGTGCCTGCTGTTAGGCCAGTCAGCTTGGCCAACCCGCTACGCTGCGTGCAGGGACGATTCAGCTGAAACGACGCTGGGCCCAGCAGCCAGTGCACAATGCAGCACGCCAGGCTGCAGGAGAGGGTTCACTGGGATTCAGATTCTCTAGCTGGCTTCATCATTACTACAACAGTAAACAATTACACTGTTAATAGATTAACAGTCTGTTCCAGAACTACAACCAGCTCAGGCTTCCCAGCACCCGGACAGAGTGAGACCGAACAAAGCTTTACGGAACATAAATGATGCTGTGAAATTAGTAGGTCTTCTAATATGAGTACTTCCAAAGTTCTTCCCTTGCTCTGGATAATGAGAAACTCTGTTTCAGTGGCAGCTTTCTCTTGTCTAGTCAGGAGAATACCAAGGCTTCCTCTGACTGACGTCAGTTTCTTCTAGGCCAGGCCTAATTTTATAGAGGGAACTGCCAGTGACGCAGTACATTTAGAAGAGATGTTCTGGGTTCACTAAATGCAATCACGTCACACAATTTCCTTTAAAATTTCCTTTAATTTCCTTTAAAAAGCAACTTTGTCCATTCACAGTGATTCTCTGCATTCTGTTCTACTGAATTACTTTCAGTTTCTGTTCTACAGACTGGTGGTGTTTTTTTTTTTTTTTTTCTTTCCAGTTCATTAAAACATGCATAAAAATACCTCTTCTATTTGAGCAAGTTGTTTGGAGGTTAAAATTCTATGATTTCAATAAGCAGAAAGAGGCATTCTTACTCTTCTTTTATAAATAAAGCTAGCAAGGGACCAACTAAAGTTCCTAGTACCAACAAGGAACACGTAGCATCAAACTTTCAAAGGGGTATAAGCACATACAAGGAAATGAGATTTTTCAGAGTACTCCAGTAGGCAGAGATGCTCAACTCATAAAAATCAACAGGAGTTAGTCAGGTAGTCTTCAGTAATAGCTGTAATTAGTAGCAGCCATAGCATCCTAAGTGTGCTACAGGCAACGTTTGAAGGGAGAAATAGCATCTTTTTCTGTAGGCCAGCTGATATACCCAACTCCCCGTCCCAAACAGACAGGAAATCAAGAACATTTCAGGTCTGAAACAGAAAAAGTGAATTTGAATCCAGAAAGTGCTCACATCTGGAAACAACTGCTCTATTTTCATTTACCTTAATCAAAATTCTCCTGTCAACTCCTGTGCATCTCAGTATCATCTACCTAACACGCAGTTTAATTTCACATACTCTGCCTACAGATCAGATCAGTACTTTCTCTTTGTATCTACAATCCAGTTTAACCATAGCAACAAAAATCAATATATCAAAAATAACAAACAACACGAAACTTTAAATGTCATAATAAAAGCAGATATACCTGAGCAAAAAATTATCATAAGGTGTATGTCATTTCAAGATCAACATTAACATATTTTAACAATTATAGCAACCAATAAAAATCTTCCTTCAGGAAAACTGTTAACGGCTAGAAACATAAAATAATATTAAAAAGCTGCTTACAAGTTTTGTCCCTTTCAAAGTTATCTAAACATGAGTTTTAAATAGCGTTGACTTAAATGAAATAGAATAGAACCCTTTCCTTCTAATACATTTTCTGTTACAGTAGTGCCTTCCAAACAACCCCGCACATTGTTCTCATCTACTTCTTCAGGATGTAGAGCTGCAAGAATTTTCTTTCTGTCATTCTTACTAGATTAAGGTTCCACATTCTTGGCCTTAAGCAGAAAACATCACCCACTTTGTACGTTACACATACAGCTGCTTATTTTGTGCAGAAAGTCAAGTTTCAAAGGCTATCTATCAGCAGCCCCCACACCTCAGGGCAGCAGCCAGCAAGCACCTGCACGTGTTAGGACAACAGTCAGCCCTTTTCCTTCATGGAGAGATCGAAGCTCCCAAACACAGCCCAAGCAAGCTGAGCTTTGTGGGACTGACAAAATACCTGGTTATGAAGCTTTAACAAAGAGTTTTGTTTTACTTACGCTTTTCTCTTCCACATTCCAAAACACAACAGCCCCTTCCCTGTGAATTCAAGGAAAAACTGAGGTGTAATGATGCTGTTTAAAATTTATTTCAATGCAATGCTTGAATTGTACAGTGGCAACTTCTGTCACTGTGAATCAAGAAACTTAACGCTATCTTCACAAAACCTACATAACAGTTTCTTTTTAATTGTAGCCTGATGACAAAATCATGAGCAGGCAAGTTTTTTTTAACCATTTAAATAATTCTTATTTCTGTTTTAAATCATCCTGATTGGACAGTTATTCCTTGAGTTTCATGAGGTAATGTGATGCAGTGATCTAGCAAGCTGCACTACTTCTTTCATACCACTGCTATTAAAAAAATTATATTTTGGGCATGATTTTTAGCTTACCTGAAGAAAAAAATCATGCCAGGATCATCTTCTTTTGCAGATTTCTCAGTACCAATCACCAAAACATTCGCGGCATCTAGTTTGAAATAAGTGAAAAAATGGAAGAATCAGTCCAACTTCTAACCAGGAGAGCTATAAGCAGCACATCATTCCAGTTTAACAGTTACATGCTAACACATCAGTAGTCCCGTATTTAATTTCTCTAATGGAAATGTCTGCCAGGAAACTACAATATCAAGCTACGCTGCTTCTCTGAAGTGTCACACTCTACACAGACTCAGCCACTATGTTGAACTTCACTGGAATCTTTAGTTAATGAAATGTAACAGCTTTGAAGAACAAAAGACTTACGGGAAAACTGATGCAGGGCACAGTAAATAACCAGGAACAGAATTCAGGGGAGGACATGCAATGTAACTATGGAAGTGCTCAGAATTGCAGAGAAATTACCATTCAAATCTGCTTGCCCAGAAGGTGTTTCTCTTTTCTGTTAGCCAGGGACTAACCTACACTCAAACTGTGCTGACTTTGCTTTCACAGTCAGGAACTTGAAAGAGCATACCCTCAAGACAAAGAGGGTACACCTGCAGTTTTCTTCAGATCAGAAGCATGCATCTGAAACAGGTCTTCCAGCCACCCTCATTTACCACACTTCTGATACGCACTGCAGAACAGTGGCAAAAGTACACAAACGGGATTTTTTTAAAAAAACATAAATTAAACTGAAAGAGGAGCTCCAAAAGTGCAGCTGTAGTATTCCAACTGCACACAGGCATTTGTTACGAAGAACCAGACTTGAGCTAGTGTAAGCAGAATGCCCCAAAACTTAGAAAATGTGGATGCTGGGTTCTCAAAACAGTTTTGTTTTCTTCCCTACAGGTCTGCTGCTCTGTACTACTTGCTGATGTAGATAAAGTCTCAGAATTCCTGATATAGTCTGACAAAAAAAAAAAAAAAAAAAAAGTTACTTTCCAGCACAACTCATTTTGTCACAAGAGCAGAAGGTAGACCAGCAAACCCCTGTAACTTCTATTACAAAGCGAGACTCTGCAAAGAGTAATTGGCAGGGCCTAACACCTAAGCCTTAAAAAGTTCAACTCCTTTGTAGAAAGATGAGAAGTCAAGCAACAAGACATCAAATTCAGCCTGTGCACAAATTCCCCCTCTGCTTTACTGCTCAAGCCATAAAGGCCAGGTAGATTATGGCAGCAGAGAAAGATGACTGAGTTTGGGATACACTTTTGCTAAGACCTGAATTGAGAGCACACAGTTGGTCTGCATTTAAGGACCTTCCTTTCACTTGCTATTCCAGTTCAGGAACACATGACTTGATGAATCACTAGAGCAAGTTTTGGGTGTGAAGTTTGAGTTCACCATGGAAGAAGCACTTACTTGAAAAGGGAAATCTGAAAACGAAGGTATCTCCCACATCTTTATTTATCCACTCCAGCCTCAACATACACAATTGAAGACAACCTGATCCACCCTAAGTGGAGGCACAGGATCTACCTCTAAAAAACTATTTTAAAGAGGTCAAAACAATAATAATGCTTAGGGAGAGCACTACAAAGCAACCAATCCACACAATAATTGCTGATTTAGATTTCTAAGTGCTAAGATTTTTCCCTTTTCCAGGATTCAGTGTTTGAGTTGGTAATCAACCACTGCTCTACGCACAAGCCAACACCACAACACATCAGATCTGCTGGCACAACCCAACATCCTTTCATCATTACTTCCTCCACACTTTTGATAAACAGAGTATCTATTATGAGGAGTCAAAGCACACACCACAAATAAATCTAAGAACTGGCAAAACCCACACTCCCAGGGTAAAATACTAGTAAAAGCAACATTTTCCTCAGGATAATTCAGTCATGTTGCGGGTTGTGCAAAATTTCTATCCCAAAGCTGTGAAACCAGAGTTAGTTCTAATACTAAGAAACTAAGGAATGTGAAGCCTCTACTCTACAGCACCTTTCCACACTCATCTTTCTAAGATAATCATTAGCAAGTCTTGTGTTTGAAAGAGACTCACCAGAGTATTATTGCACTTGGATTACTAAGTGTTTGAGTGGCAGGCAGATTCCTGATATCTGAAACACCCATAAAGAGTTATTCTCTTAGCCTCATATAAACTGTTCATTCAGAAAAAGAAAAAAGAAAGCCTTCTACTGCCAACATACAAAAATCACAGCTGTTGTAGTGCATTAGGTTCCTTAAGCTATATAAAAGCCTCCATTTGTTTTTCTCTTGTAGTATACTTCCAAGCCATACTTTCCCAAGCATTCAGAGAGACTTTGTACGGAAACCAGAATCAGTTATTTTGCTGAAGTCTGCCTATGTGACGCATTTGACAATTGCTAGGATATATTCTGCCCAATAAAAAAAAATAGTATCAACTGCATTCTCCTTACTAGAACTAAGCATTTATGTGTACATTTTTTTTATTCCACTTAGCAAGATTCTTTCTTGCATGCGCCCTTCTCTCCAACCCTCAGTGATTTACATTAACACAAGTATGTATATGGAAAAAAAGATGCAACACTTCAAATTACAAAATTGTTTTGACAGCTGAAGCACTACTGTATCTCATTACTGAAAGATTAATTAAAATAAAGAAAACTCACAATTTCTTCAGTTAGTGAATTTCTATAGAAATTCTTTGTATCAGAAAAGTTTCAAATTTATTTTTCCTGCATTAGTATGATTTTTCAGTACTTTTAGAGTTGTAATTGGGGAAAAATTTTCACAGGGTAACAGCAAGTACTATTTTGAAAGGTTTAGCTGTGGGTTTTTCAAGCAGATGAAAATTTTAGGCAAAGCAATATTTTTATAGACAGTATGATGTATTCCACGCTATTACCAAATTAAAGGTACATGAAGTTATAAAAACTATACACCTCACCCATATTTTATTTCCCATGGTATAACATTGCTTTTAAAATGTTTCAAAAATCTACCTCTAGGCAAACTCGTTATTTCAACATATCCATGTGAGGTCAGGTCATGACACAGATTACCAAGGTGATACTCATCTGCTGTTGCAAAGGCTGTGCACTGCATCAGATTCTGTGCCAAAGGAATAAAGATGTGAGTTAGGGCAAGGCTGAAGCAAGATGTTCATAAGACAACTGTTTGCCTCAAGTTTATCACTAGAGTGGCATTTTCCACTTATTCACTCTTTTCTATGCTATCACTGCCATGCTGTCCACCCGGTGTATGAACACTAACAAGGTAATTGTTGCCTGTTAAGTGGGGAAGCAAATCACAGACTGAGATGAAACCACGTGGCACGAGTAAGTTGCACCAAGAAACCTTTGTGATAAGAGCCACAAAGCAAATCCTGCTTCCCTGAATACCAATCAAATGCTCTACCAGCAGAGCTACGCTTGCTACTGCTCTCCTGTCCTGCAGCTTGTGACATACTCGGCTGCCCACTGAAATCAAAAGCAAGACACCTCCAGTAACAGCTTTAACATCCCTACTTTAAAGATAAATGGAGTTCAAATACCTCAGCCTGCTTATCAAGCAGAAGGTCCAACCACAAGCATGTCCTTCCACGCATGAAGCTCACTGTCCAGGTAACTCCCAGTGTATGAGCCACTGCATAGAAAGTCACATCTCTCCTGGGCCAGGTGTAGATCTGCAGTGTCCTCCCTGAGCTGAATCCTGCGCTGTGGTAGTACTGCCACCCCCACCACCGACCTGGGCCACCTCGTCTCAGCTGACACCACAGCTGAACAGCATACAACAGCCAGAGTATGCATCAATACTCCACAATCTTAAGCGACTAAAATGTCATATTCAAAGAAATAACTGCAAAAGTGAGAATGACCCATGCATGGCAAAGAAATCAGAAAGTCATCTCTGTAAAGATTTGATTAATCAAACAAGTCACAATAAACCAATCTACAAATGCTACTTTCATTTCAAGTGGATTTTTTTGTTCAGATACCATGTACGTCTCACGACAATGTTTTCCAGTACAATGCAGTTGAAGATATCCAGAAAGCAATTTGTCTCATTGTGGATCAGTCTCTTCCCAGCTTTTTGTAACCAATACAAATGGGGATGTAACTAACAACAAATGAACAGAAGAACTGTACTCATCTGCAAGTATTTATACCCACAATACACTTCAACTTTAAACCCAAATTATAGTCTCATAGCACTCATACGCTATCAAACAGCTTAAAAGGCTCAAAAAGGTGTTCTACTCTTTGGGGGGCTTGCTACCAGCTGTCAGAATCATGACCACACATTTAAACCTTTTTTTTTTTTTTTTTATGTTAGCATTCTGATATCACTTCCAAAGCTTTGCTTATATATAATTTAATTCAGTGATCACTAACAGAAAATAAACTTTAAAAGTAATCACAACATTCAGTGAGCAATTTTGCAGCCACGTTTCCACAGCTGTGCTACGAGGCTGTGTTAACAGTGAAAGAGAACTGTGTTTTCAGTTCCCCTGCTGCAGAACTTTTAAAAAGTTACATTATCACAACTTCAGATGTATAGATCCATTCCCAGTCTCTCAACCGCCAATGCAAGTTACCCATTTCAGACTATTCCAGAAAGATCTGGTGATTAGAAGTACACATGCTCTGCCATGAAACTCTTCTGTCAGGAGTTATGGGAGCCAACTCCTCCTATCTTCTACCTACTGTACCATCCTGCTCTATGCTTCCCATAGTTTATTACTTGTGCTATTGTTCATTTCATGGCAGATGCACTACAGGACTTGCTTTCTGCATTAGTGCTGCATTTTCAGTTTCAATGTAAAGACTTCACATATAGTCAGAACCAGAAGCTTTCTGCTAAGACTACAGGCCTGACATAGCATTTTGGATATGCACTAGTTTGGTGTTTTTTTTTTTTTTTTTAACCACATACTGTTTCACCTAAGTTTTTACTAAAATGTTGTTTGATGGGGAATATTCGGATTGGGTGTAATTTGAGGTTAAAACACCTAAAATACATGTCCCCTGGATGTCTAAGATACCATGATAGTCGGTGGTCTACGCTCTAATGAGGAATTCAGCTGACCCTAAAATAGATGTGTTAACTGACCCGTCAACTTTAATGCCATGTTTTCTGCTATGTAACTTTCATCTGCAAACTTAAAAAAATAATACAAGATCTGTACTGGTGCTAGAAAGAAATTCCAGCTACCCACCACCCTTGTCCTTTCTGCCTATAGCTGGGGCTTCATTGAGAACAACCGCTATCTTTAGGAGTAGCCATCCTAAATACCCCAACTGCTCGTTTCCTGTATCATCACATCCCAAACAACTGTACAGCCTCATGGAACTGTAATTCTCATTAGCCCATCCCTTCCACTTCAAACATACAAAATTTTTATAGAAAGACAACCTGCAGGGAGAATTTAAAATTGTCACATCACCACAGGAATCAGTCTTTATCTTAAATGTAGTAAATACTGCATCTTTACTTGGATTTCAAGCTTTTTCTATACTATATGGCTATAGCTCAGAGGCATTTCATACCATCAGATCATAGGAGATTATCTAAACTGAGTAGTGGTACTACTCATTGATGGATTGATTAAACCAGTTAACTGCTTTCAAGTAATTCCTCCATCTGTCCTGAAAAACTGGTCGTACGACCATTTACCACTGCTGCTGCTGAGCACTCTGCCTGTGAACAGCACACCAAGACCAGTGCTGGGAGGGGTGGGAAGGATCTCATTCACAAACTGTCGTGCAAAAGAACCCTGTCAACTGTCAGGCCCTCCCAGACAGAAAAAAGCAGAGATCCTCAGGGTTCATCTAGCTCAGAACGTCAGGACAGGGGCAGCAACCTGTGCCAGGTACCTGCCTGGCAATAGGGCCTGCGCTACTGGAGGGCTTTTGGTCACCTCCACACATGCCAGGAAAGCAAACCAGGATTTAGAGAAAACCAATGGTGTGCTGAAAAAAAATCAAAGATTCTCCACTTGTGCTACTTTTCTTAGTCATCTTGCAGAAATCAGTCAGATTTTAAAGTTATCTCTCTATACTACATATCTATAAGGAGATCCACAAACAGGTAAAAAACAAAAAAAAGCTTATTCCCAAACATTGTCAGCCTGCACTCAAGGTCACAGCCTGTCTGTACCCCTGTAGATGGGGCTGTATGTCTGACAAAACCACATGGGGTTTATTAAAAAAATCACAAATGTTTTGGCTAGATCCAAGCTAATGTGATTCTGGCACAGCATTTGGCCATGTGTGGAAGCTTCCTCAGAAAGTATATTATTATGTCAGTGTATCAGGCAGTGTTTCCTCTGTATGATCACAGTGCATATTACTTGCATACATGTACATGAAAACAGCAAGCCAAGAAACTGTTTGCATTCTGTGCTGCCATCTAAAAGCCTCAAGAATCTAAAAAAACTTGTCACTTCAGTTCACCCAACAACAAAAAGAAGCAACCTCTGAATATAGTGTCATAGCATGAATAACAAGCTCAAAATACTGTGTGGTGTTCCAGGACTAATATTCTTCACTTCCTTTTGTCAAAAGGATGGGAAAGTACAAGTGGAAACAAAATTGTCTGTAAAGGAGTTATGTTATATTAAAGCATACTGCTGCTCATCACAAAAAATATTAAACATAAGTTCAGACATTGAGAAGGCTTGCACTAAAACTTCAGTTTCTGAAATTTTCACATTTGGTAGATCATGCAATAGGCATGCTTTGTAATGTGGAAGCTATTTTGAAAGCACAATACTTGTTTCAGTCTCATCCACAATAGTATTTTATTAACAACACCCTGGAACTCTATTGTTGTTGTAGCCTGGGGAGAACAGCAACACTTCTGGACAGAAGGATTTGCCCTGAAGATCTTGTATTCAAGTATGCTTAAGGTCTGCCTGGCGACTCCTGAAGCCTGCAAAGAACTATCTTCAGGACAAACAGCCACAAGTATTCACTGTTCCACTTAATCATGTATCATTTTATCCAGAACAACTTTTTGCTTCAGTTAGCCTGTAGACCTAGGAGTCTGGAGATGAGGGTTCTATTTCTACACATTGAACAATCTTCCTCAAGTAACATGGGCTATGTCTGCATTTCAGTTTCCCATCTGAAACTTAAAGTGAATATAAGCCTTATACTACTTGCTTTCATCTGTTTGAGTGAAGTCTTAAAACTGGGTAGAATAGCACAATCGAGGATACCTAGGGAAACAAATTATTCTGAAAGCTATACTTTGTTTCTCAATATTAAATGTGATTTGAAAGCACTGGTTAAATGGATTTTATCTTTCCACTTTCATAACTTCCCTCTGCTTGTTTATACATTGCTAGTAAACCTCCATTTTACCTTCCAAATACCAGATACGTTAGTTTCTATCAAGCTTCTTTCTGTTTGCAGAGTTCCAACACTAGGGTAAATAATAAAACCCTCCTCACCAAATAAATATGTTAATTTCATTAAAATGTAACTCTAAATCCAAATCTGAATCTAACTTAAATTAACAAAGTTCCCTTAATGTTATAGTGACTGTAAATTTGATACTTTACCTCCATGTCTGAGAGCAGTGGCTGGTTAGTCCTGGATGGCTGCTTGGTCCTTGGTGCCTTTGGTGGCCTCTTAACTGGCTGGTTACCATGTTTTGGAATAATTTTACCATATGACACAACAGAGTAAAATCTCGATGATACATTCCCAAGCTTTTCAATGAGCTTTGTTTTGAGCTTGTAGTTTTCTGTCATCACCGCACCAAAATGTTTCCAGGATGGAAAAAAAGCCTCCCTGTTCTGATAACAAACATCTTTTCCCAAAGCTGATACATTTCCTTGGAGCAACTGCCAATTCTTGACTTGCACACGTTGACTTGTCAAACAGGTGGAAGCAGTTTTCAGAGCACACAAATCCCAAGACTTCGCTGTTCTGTCAGCTTCATTATCCAGCTTTAATAGCAGACGTCCGGCTTTACTGGAGCTTTGGCACCAGCGTACTGTTGTTAAAGCGTGGAGAGATCTCCTTTGGAGACACAGAAGTTTCAATCTCATTGCTTCTCTCAGAGCTGGATTTAAAACAAACAAACAAAATCATCCATCAACTCTTTGAAAAGAAATAATACTATTTTACCTTTATCTAAAAAGGTGAGCCACACCCTTTTTTGTATGTTTTAGTACTCCTAAACAGATAAACGTTGCTGGGTTTAAACAACTTTTCTTCAGTGCTATGGAAATACTCTGCTTAAGACCAAAACACATTATTGAGCCATGTGCTTGCAACACGTGGTGAAAAAGTAGAACTGGTTGCTATGTCAACATGCAAGCAGGCATCTTTTCCCTCTGTTGCTCACTCTGTGTGGCAGTTTGCACTCTCAGTAACCCCACTGATGAAATTACTCATGAGCTAGCACACACCTTAAAGAGAACATCGCTCTGTGAATCCTTATTTTATACATAATGCAACCAACCATTAGATTACTATGTGCTCACATGGGAATGCCACCTATGGAATGCACACGCTGATCAGCATCAGCTCAAACTGCTGCAAGGCAAACAGCCAAGCAATGGATCCAGCTCTGTTCTGTCACGAACAGAGTGAGAGCTAAGTCAATCAGGTTAAGGTCTTGACCCTGCTAGCACATACCAGTGCAAGTGGGACCGCAAGGCTTGCCCGCAGATCTGCCCGTGCTGATGGAAACACAACAGTGTCCTTATCCCGTTACTCCAGACTAAGAGCAAGCTTATTATATTTATGCTACACTGTATGAGCCAATAAAATAAATTTTAACACTAGACTGAATACCTCAGTGTATCAGTTCTGGCTGACCTGATTTCCCCATTGCAGCCCTCCTAGTGCAGTGCCTTTGTGTTGGGAGTTAGAAGGGTGCTGGTAACACCCGTGTTGTGACTGCCCCTGAGCAGCGCTCGCACAGCACCGAGGCTCTTTCTCACATTCCCCCGCCAGTGGTATGGGGGGGCAGGAGCTTGAGGGGAACATAACCAGGACAGCTGACCTGAACTGGCCAAAGGGACATTCCATACCATAAGAAGTCAGCTCAACTATAAAGCTGGTACAAAGTGGGGGAGGGAGCTACTCCTTGGTCCACCAGAGCAACTGCTAAGCATTTTGGAGCCCTTCTTCCCAGGAAGGAGACAGACATCACCTGGGGATGGGAAGCAGAGAATAAGCCTTTGGGTTTTTTCTCTTCACTTCTGCACGTGGCATTGCCTGCCTTTGCTTTCAAATTAAACTGCCTTTGTTTTTACACACAAGGGTTTTGTCTCTATCTTATTTTTCTTTCCCTTTTGCTCTGTGGAGGAGGGAGAGGAAAAGGAAAGTGTGAGAGAGCAGCTTGGTGAGTTAGCTGGTGCTCAGACAGGGTTAACACACCACACTCAGTGTGAGTGTGTTTCATCTGCTAAAGACATTGCAGCCTCAAGACTCTGTCCCACCTGCTTTTATTAACCAAGATAATTTCGCTCATAACACAAAATCCATCCTCGGGAAATTATTAAAAAAAAAGTCATTAAGTTGTTACTTTGAAAAAAATGCCTATTTCAGAATATTTTTCAAAAACTGTTTCAAGAAGTGTCTTCACTACCACCCATACATTTACCTTAATAGTTCAAATAAACATTGTATTGTGAGAATTAATTGCTGTGTGCCAACTGGAATAAGCCCTTCAACCAGACAAGAATACCTTGATGCTACCAACACACACACACACAACTTGGAAACAACCAAAACTGACCCTGACATAACTTAATGGAAAAGGAGAACACTAATTCTAGTGAAACAGGCTTTCAACTTTACAAAAAAATAAAAAAGAAACCAAAGCAATCAAACAAGAAGAGATAAACAACGTTTAGAATACTACAGAATAAGTAACTGATATTTGGCATACCTTTGTATGGTCTTCCCTTGTAGCTTTCTGTCTAATTTGTAAGCATGTAATTTGTATACTTATTACAACTGAGCAACTGCATCGCAGGGTGGTCGAGAGACCGGGCAAGGGACAACGTCACTGGTAGCATAGGGTAAACTAGTGGAAAGAGACTCACAAATGCCAAGTAAATCTGCACTTTCCTAGCCAAAATAACCTTGTGTGGAATCACAGTGATCTTTCAACTGTACAGCCTAAGAGCGAGCTACAGGAAAGCAGTGCTCACATAGACTAAACTCTTATCGATAAGCCTTGACGGCAGATTTGTAGCAGCACAGCCAGGGAGTGCAGAACAGAGCAATCCGATAAGCGGGATAAAGAGCTACCACAAGACAGCAGGCGCCATCTCCGAGCAGCAGAAACCAATCTGCACTTTATTTCCCAACGTCTCTTTAACGCGAGACACGCTTTATTCACGCCCGTTGCCTTTCCAGCAGGCCAACCGAGACGTACGAACCAACGAGACTAGCTCTGCCGGTGGCCAGCGTGGCCCTGCCCAGCCCCCACTCCCGGTGCTTCGGGCCCCCGGGCGGCGAGAGGCCAGTATGGCGCGGCGCTGC